CTTTCTTACATGAAGTCACTTGTGCAAAAGTGAAGCTAGAACATCAAAAGCACTCCCTTCTCTCCCAGGAGAGATCAAGTGTAAAGTCGTGTTGCATTTAGAAGTTCTGGTCTCTGCAGCCCAGACTGCACTTCTCTCCAGTCTAGTCTTTGTCCAAGGACTAAGTGTGCCAATGTTGAGTCATCGCCTAGTGACACTTTTTATTTTGATCCAAGTAGCTTTGGTTATATGTCCTCCTTTTCAGCCATAGTATTGCATGTAGGATTATTAATGATCTTATAGAAAGTCCATTCTTCACATTTCCCCCAACCTCCCAATAGAACTTGTGGACACAGGGATTCACATTTTTGCTGGTGCTATTTAGAGTGGTGGTGATTTCTCTCAGCAACTTAACTTGATGTTCTACTTGTATATACCTGTTATAGTTTGTTTTCCATTTACTATTGAGATTTTCAATGTATTTCCCACACATGCCCTGTTCAACTTGTCTTAATGAAGTCCAACTTTATTTTATATCCAAGATCCTATCTTCAGGGTAGAATAATTTTTTCTCTTTATCTGATTTACAAAAAACAAATCACTGAGGCTGAGGTTGTAGCTCTGTGATAGAGCACCTTCCTAGCATGTGTGAGGCCCTGGGTTCAATGATTATGTTAGTTCTGAAGGAGTTCACAGTGAACTAAGCTACCTTGTAATTAGTTTGTTGTTTATTTATTTGATTGTTGGTTATTTGATTTAGTTGGGTTAAGTATGATTTTGGGTTTCCTATAGTAAAAAGCTTTACTTACCAAGTCTATTGTTATAAAATATAAAGCTCTCTTACATAGAGGTTTTAGATTTCCTGTTTTCCATCTTATTTCAACTTTGACCTCCATAAAATCTTCTTATGTTTAAACAATGGGGAGAAAGTTCCACACTATGGCCATACTCTCCTCAAGTGGTCATACTGACCATTGCTCCTTAGTGCTGAATGAGAACAAATCGAATCCTGTTTGCACACATACAACGTGCTGATATTCTATAACCAGGGCTACAGGAAGGATGATATGTAGCAGGGTTGAGGTAGATTTGAATCTCAGCCTTTGTTTTTCCTTTCTTCCTCTTAAACATCAAAACACCCAACTCTCTTTTATTTAGAACATTATTTACTTTATATTCAATTGTAAAGCAGTAGAAACTGACCATTTTAAAGTTTTTTTTAAAAAACTGGAATTGTGTAAACAATAAGGAAAATAACATTTGTGGAGTGTACCAGTTTGCTACAGCTGCTGTAACAAAGAAACATAGACTAGATGGCTTAAAGAACAGAAACTTATTTTCTCATAGGTCTGGAGTTTAGAAGTCTAAGATGAAGGTGTCAGTAGGGTCTATTTCTTCTGAGGGTTGTGGAAGAAGGATGTTTCCAGGCCACTGTCTTTGGCTTGTAAATGACCATATCCTTCCTGTGTCTTCATGTTATTTTCTTTTGATATCAGATATTTAAATTTCCTCTTCCTATAAGGACCCCAGTCTTATTGGATTAAGGCCCACCCTAATTACCTCCATTACCTCTTATTTTCATACATTCGGAGAGCTTCAACATCTGAAAGTTGGCAGGGGACACAATTCAGCTTATAACATGAAGCAGCTCCAGGGGTTCAGGCACATGGTAGGTACTTTCATATACATTAATTTATTTGACCTGCACAAAACTACCATACTAGAAGGGACATTGTGATCCCATTTCATAGGTGCAAAGAACAGACTAAAGCATTGCCATCTTGCACAAAGCTAAAAAGTAGAAAATTAGGATTTGAACTTAATTCTGTCTGATCTGCTCTACCATGCTGCTTCTCTTCTCAATTATTTCCTTTCTTTGTAAAAGTAATATTTTTTAATCAAAGCAGAGCCCAGGAAGGTTTCACCCTGTCATTTTAGCTTGGTAAATTTATTTTTGCAGATGTGTTTGGCTTCCTAGTTGGTAGCCAATGTTCCTGTTCCGGGTACTTATGCTACTTCCCTGCATCCCTCTACACATCCTATGACTCAGTGAAGGGCTTCTCACATATCCACACAAGGCATTCACATCTACTCTATCACCTTCATCTCATAATCATGTTGTCTGGTACAGGGGAGTCTGGACAGGTTTGATGTGCTTCGTTATTTGGAAATCTTTAGAATCTCTCAGAGGGTGAAATAACTTTTAGTGGAAGATTGCTTCATAAGTGCAGAGTCTTTTCCTCTTTGGTTTTGAGCCCAAGGATGGAGGCGAACACGTCTGTGGGTAGACAGGGTGCAACCTACTGTGAGACTTGCGCAGGCAGTGGGAGGAGATTGATGATGAAGATGTCTCCATCTCCCAGGAGTTGTTGGAACCATCTGGTTGCAAATGTAATCAGAAGAGTACCAGAGTAAGGACAGACAGAGAGTTTTTCATTGCCAACCTGCTATGTAGTAAGTGAAAGCGGTAAGTGAAATTGGAAAATTGCTCAGCCACATCCACAAATAGCTTGTAGTTGACTTAAACATTTAAAAATGCATGCTCTCTACCAGTGACACTTTTCTTAATAACCTGGTACCTATGATCTGATATCAGAAGAGGAGGATTTTAATTCTGACTGTATTACTAACTACCAGTGTGCTCTCAGGTAAATTAATTACTCTCACTGAGCATCAATTTCTTTATCTGTCACCCGAAAGAGGGTTGCTGCAAGGGTCAAATTAGATGGTGTGCAAGAGCTTTGCAGGCTATGGAGCACTATATAGATGTTAGCTCTTTTTATTATTCTTTTATTTTGGGCCCAAATCTATTAGAACCCACAATTATGCTGAATTGTCTGGTTTGATTCTCCAATTTATGGATTTTACAGGCCCCCTGTTTTATTTCCCATTTTCACTTCTTACATGCTTGTTAGTTCTTTGAAAATGTTTTAGAATCATTGTGAAATAGGGTGAAGAGCAGTTAGGAATTTTTACTTTTTAATGTTTTCATATATATTTATAAACAGTTAATGGGGAGAAAATTGGGGGGGGGGGAGAACCCACCAGTTCATGAAGAGTTTGTATATACCCCAAAAGTGGCCTGTCACATTTTAAAGGAACTAAGCCCTTCCAAGGAAATTACCTGTCATTTGGTTTCAAAACAGTCCTGGCAGACTCCCGGTAGATGCTGACACTTTTAATTTTTCCTGAGAGCTATTAAAATGGTAGAAGTTTTGGAACTGTATTCCCATATCACCTTGATGTGCCAAGTGATTGAATAGAACGTGTGATAAGGATCTTTCCTTGATGATGAAGCACCACAGAAAATCCTGAATTGGCAACTCCAAAGTGATTGCCAATCAAGTTTCAGAGTTTTCATTACCCAAGCATCTGTAAGAAGTTGTATCAGAATAAGAAGTTGTCTTTGAACTTGCAAATAAAAGGTTGTATCTGTCTTTCTCTCTCTCTAGTAGTAGTACATTACTTCTTCATTCACTAGAAATGATCACTGCTTATTATAGATACCAGAAAGAGATGCTAATGGCATTTCCCCTTTCTGGAAGAGGGCAGTCAGACCCAGAGCAGGTGGGATTCATCCAAGTGGGTGCATTTGGAAGCAAACCATCTCTGCTATGGCTGTTCCTGGAGGATCACTTTCATTGACCACAACTTGATACTGGGTTACTTCAGTGAATTTCTTGGGTTTCAGCAAGTCTGACTTCTATGACTTTACAATTTCCTAGGCTGGCTAGAGGAAGATGGCTAGTTTGGGGGAGAAAGGATCTATGAGATAATAGGGTGCTACATCCCCACTTAATGTGACTCAGGCAGCTGGTAGCTATCTACTCTCAGTACTCTCTAGGGAAATCAGTTAATTTCAGTTATATATCAGGATTGTAACTAAAATTTGGCATCTGATTAACCAGAGTGAACTAATTTTGTATGCCAGTGTCTCCTTACTGCACACTCCGTTTTTTGATTGCTTGCATATGATGAGGTTGATGTCAGTGAATCTATTATTCTGACAAATGCTAATCAGAGGTAGGATTCTGATTTTAAATTCAAATTCATTGTGCACTATTAAGTTTTCTAACATTGTGTGCTTTTGATGGACTCATTTGCATGATTTTTAAAATATGCATTTCAGGCTATAATTTTATTATCTGAGTGTTCTTTTACTTAATATGAGTTTTTTGAGGAGCTTTTTTTAGGGTATGAAAAGGTTAACAATCTATTTGCAGCAGCAATATGCTCTGATTGAATTCCATATGACCTATATTAATCATTATCTGTCCTCTGTTGAGTAGAGCATAAGTTAGGACCACTGGAATACTAATGACTGGGTTCAAATTCTACCTCCTCTGCTCCATCTATGTGCACTATATGTAAAGTGACTATGGAGAGGTACATAACCCCATAACTTTATCCTCATGTTTCATTGGAGATAATAATAGCATTTTTCTGATAGAATTTTGGAGATGGTTCCATTAGAAATGGCACATGTATAAGCCATATTTTGCTAGGTGTACTGCAGTAACAATGCATCTAAATTAGGAATGGCTGACAACTAGAGATTTGCTTCTCATTCATATTCATGTTCATTGTGGGTTGGCTTTGCCTCTGCTCCATTGTCTCTTTGTTCTGGGACACAAGAAACAGCCCCTATTGGTGTCATGACAGAGAAAAAAAATGGGGATGGAAGAACCCCAAGACATTTTTAGTTTGTACTTGGAAACAGCAATTTTACTTCCATTCATATCTATTTGGCCAAAGTAAGTCAGTTGGTCAAAACTAGTATCAGCTGAGTGGGTAGAATAATTTGCTGTACCATGTAAGTGGCTAGAACATAGTAAATGCCCAGTAAACATTAGCTTTTACTTTTAATCTGTTCACAAAAGTAAATTATAGTATGGGATTCTGCTAAGCTAGTGAAACTTTCCTGTGCTAGGACAGAGAAGACTAATATTTGTGGGTTTTTTTGTCATATGGTTCTTTTAAAAACAAATTAAAGTGCAGAATGTTTCCTTTGAACTTTCCAGGGAAGGTGGTCTATGGAGAACCCATAGCAGCAGGTCTGGGCACCGATGGCACTCACTACTGGAATAAGGAATGGCACCATGCAGCCCACTACGTCATGGGTCCACCTCTGAGACCAGACCCTTCAACTCCTGGCTTTCTCATGAATCTGCTGGCTAAGTAATCATTGTGTAGATGACTGTGAGGTGTTTTGCCAAAATAAATTGTTTTACAAGTCTCAGATTTGGGTGAAGGAGAGCTAGTCTTAATTCTGGAGCTTTCATGAAACTTCCAGTATTCTGTTCTTCCTGACCTGAGAGATCCGGGGCACTTCTCCTTACCTGGAGAACAAAAACACTGGCTTAGTTATATTATATTATGATATGTTGTCAAAATCTCTCCTGGACATAGAGTAAGCTGATTATTTTTACTGAATTTTTATTTCTGTTTTTTCAATCCTTCTCTTGTTACCCAGAGCCCAGTCTCTTTAATATGCATCCCTCCACCCCGCCCCGTGTGGGGGGATTGAACCCAGAGCATTCCACATGCTAGACAAGAGCTCTGCCACCTAGCTACACCCAAGCCCTGTGCCTTGAATATCCTGAATTTTTTCTATGCTGAGATAATGCAGGATCCAGATTGTTGTGTAGGTAATTCTGTCACTTTCTGGAAAGGGCTGATCATTGTTCTTGAGCATGATACATATATGGACATCCTGACATCCCCCATTCACAGATGCTTCAGATTCAAGTTACCAAACAGATTTTGAAACTGACTATATGAGAGTTCACTTGTCCATTTCTTTCAGTGTCTTTCCTCTTTTACCTTTCTGTGTTCCCAAGATAATTCACAAGTCAAAGCAGGATTTCAGTCCCTGGTGACATCATCATCCTTGGTCAGACTCACAACCGTATCACAATGTGGTCATTTGCCCAGGGGTCACCCTGGAGGACCTGCCCTCCATTCCCATTACCTGATACATGGTGACCCTGATGTTCCTATTATCAAATACAACTGTTAAGTTTTACCTAAGACAAACTCATAAGCACAGAACCAGTAGGTGACACAGGTGAGCCTAGATCTCAGGCTTTCTAACCTTTGTTTGCATCTAGGCTTCTTGTTCTCTGAAAGCACCTCTTAGTATAAAGACAGGAGATGGGTGAGACACACATCTGAGAATGCTATTGCATTGACTTTTGGTGGTGAAGAGGGTCAGGAAGTTAGGAAATGTATGGTCCTTTCATCCTCACATGTTCTGTCTACTCACCCTCATGTTTGTTTGCTTGTTTACAGTGATGATCTGACCACAACAGGGACTGACAACTGCACTTTCAACACGTGCCAGAAAGCTCTTGGGAAGGATGATTTTACTAAAATTCCTAATGGGGTGAATGGTGTTGAGGACCGGATGTCAGTCATATGGGAAAAAGGCGTGGTAGGTTTCATAGGATCCAGTCTTGTTTTGCTTTCTTCTTCAGATAGGATCCTGACTGATTGAGAGCCAGAATGGCATAAACCTGCTTAGAGAAGCTTCCTGATTTTTTTTTTTCATTACAGTGGGAATCCAACACCATTGCCACCAATTCCATCCCATCCCACCCTGCAGCAGTATCAGCAAACAAATAATTGTCTTCTCTGCATGCTTCAGTTTAGAGGCTGCATTGGGAATGGACTTACATTAGGTACAAAGAAGGCCATTCTTGCTGGACATGCCTGTAATCCCAGCAGTTTGGGAGGCTGAGGCAGGAATATCATGAGTTCAAAGCCAGCCTCAGCAACTGAGCAAAGCCCCAGAGACCCTGTCTCTAAATAAAAAATAAAGCAGGCTGGGGATGTGCCTGAGTGGTTAAGTGCCCAGGGTTCTATCCCTGTTATCAGACAAACAAACAACAACAACAACAACAACAACAAAATCAAAACCAAACAAACGAGAAGCCCATTCTTTAAATGTTACAGTTCTGCTTCGTTTCTCATGTTCTTGGATCACAATTCCTCATGTGTCACTACTATGAATATTTGAAATAATGGAAAACACATGAAGGCTACATATTATGTTCATGTTTATATCTCCTTTTTATAAAATCTTTGTAGATGTCCCTTTTTAAAGAACCCTTGCATATCATATTTTTAAAACTGCTGTATGAAATCATATAAATAATAACTCAAAGTTTTTGAGGGGGAAGAAAAGTCCAATTTCTTTTTAATTTGTGTCATTACAGCAGATTTTTATAATTTATTACAGTTCCAAGGTATATAAATATTTTATATAACGCATGATACTATGATATTTTCTGAAACAAGATGGTTTACTTCTAGGACTATGTCTTTTTGGTCATTTTTTAAAATCATTTTTTGAGATAGGAATGGTAAACTTTAATAGCAATATACATAGGAATAAACTCTAAATACTTTTTCTATATTAAAGTATCTTGCAATAGACTGTTCATGATTATTGTTTCATGTAAGTTTTAATTGCATGAAATTGAACCTCTTAAGTCAAGTTTGCATCTTTCTAAAAGTGTTACCTGATTTAAAAACGTCATAACCTGTCTTATTTTAACTCCACAGTACCTTGCCTATGTCTACATGCTTATCTTGTCAGTCTTGGGTCTATGATAAATTAGCCAGATCATAAATGTAATAGGTGGTGGTAGAAAATTTTAAATGGCAATTGGAAGTACCATTGCCAACATTTAGCTGTCATCTGTAGCAACCTGGTATGGTTCTGGGCAGGATGGGAGGAATTAAGGGGGCTGGTTTTTTTTATTTGATAGATTTTTGAAACATCATCCTATGTAACCCATTGTCTTCTTCATTATCTTTATGCCTGTTTAACACCAGCATCCACAGATGTGGCCAGCTCCTCAGAATAAGAAATTCAATGCAGTTCTGGTTGGTTTAAGTGATGCAAGTCTTGTATTTTTATTGATAGGAGGTTTTGTTTTTTTCAGTATTTGATCATCAGAACAAATGCATTTTCTTTTTGGAATTGTTTTATAGCATAGTGGTAAAATGGACGAAAACCGATTTGTGGCAGTTACTAGCACAAATGCAGCCAAAATATTTAATCTCTACCCAAGAAAAGGAAGAATAGCTGTAGGATCAGATGCTGACATAGTGATTTGGGACCCAAAAGCCACAAGGTAAGTCTGACTTCTTGTATTCCTTGGCTTCATGATGAAGAAAAAGCACTAACTTGCAAAGAAATTTTGCTTTGGCCTTAATCAGCCATTTCTTATTAGGTGATATATTTAGCCATGCTCAAGAATTTTGAGACTGTGCACAAGATAAAGGTTTTGATAGACAAATATTTCTTTGTTTTTCTTGGCACAGAGGTTGCAAAACTTGTGTTGCATTCTCTGGAAATGGATATGTATAGAAAACCAATATGAATTTACCACTTCAGTGCCTGGCAAATGCCTGACTTCACAGGGAGGAAAGGTACAGCACAATGAAGAAAATACAAGGCTTAATTTGAAAAGGGCTGAATTGAAAACTCAAAATAATTACAGCCTTTTTAAAGCTTTCAGATACAAAAATTCCAGCACAAAGGATGTCACTTTTTGTTAGCCAAATTTTCCAGTTGAGTTCATCTTGAGCCTCTCATTCCCAGTAGATTCGAGCTTTTTGTTTCCAATTTCCATAATTCTATGTTAATATTGCAGGTCTGGCAAATTCCACCAACTCAGGAAAGCATTCGGTGGAGGAGGAAGCTCTGTGAATTTCTCCTTACAGGAGGAGAGCACAGACAATACCTGCATACTGATGTGTGTTTTCTGTAGACTTTGCCACTGCAATGGAGGGAAACCCACAACTTCAACATTTTGTGTGTGTATATATATACATGTGCAAACAGCAATACCATGAGCCTGTCTGCCTCACTGTACAGCCATTTATTAAAAGTCTATCACTTTTTTTTTAGTGTAGTAGGCAAAATGTGTAGCTTCTTGGAGGTGGTATCATCATAAAGACCCACTTCCAATGAAATGCTCCTAGGCCGCCCTCTGGGGAAAACTAAACTAACTGTGACTCTGAGCCTAAAACCAGCCCCAGGTAGTCTCTGGACCCTTGTTGTCCCTATCCAGGGATCATTTCACATGGTTGGAAGACTATGATCATGTCAAGTAGCCAAACACTTTGCCCTAACACCTCTCTGCTGGTTAATGATCCATGCAAAGCAGTAAATGGTGATACAAGCATCTTACTTACCTGAATATCCTTAGAAACCAACTAAGCACAACTCTCAGTCTTTGTTATTATGTTAACAAGGAATTGCTGACCATTAAGGACTCGATACCTAGTAAAACCAATAAGGGCAGCTTCTCTACTAGGCTAGGAAAATTTTGCTTGGGAAGGCAATGGGAAGAAAAAATTGCTTGGTTTTAGAATGATCTGCACATGAATTGCACATGCTACATTTAGAGAACCTGAGGCATTTTAAATACCACTCTGCAGTAGACTGGTGTAAGCCCAGCAGTCTCCTACCCAGGGTCACCTTTGCTGCAATTCAGAAAATTTTAGGCAGCTCCAAGGGCTGAGACAAGGTAGATTTTTGGAAACATCTTGTGACTTAGGGAGACCATCAGGTTTAATCAGAAGACCTATAAATTTTCAAAAGGGACAAAACTATCATGTGGAAGAAATATTTATGAAAAATTATGATTTTGAAGCATAACATCTGGGAGAGCAGAACAATGATAATAATTAGTAATATTTTGCACTTGCATGGCTCATGGTGGGTTAAACTTCAGTATCTAAAATGTGATTTATCAGGTAAGACAAATAAGATTGCTTCATGGTAATGAGAAAACTATAACTGCAAAACAGTGTAAGTTTGATATGAGAACCCTGACCATGTGACTCTGACTTTGGACACTTGTTATGTTTTCTGTGAGATTCCGTGCCATGCTATCTCCTGATTTAAAGCACAGCACTTTGTATTATACTTGCTTGTTCATGTTCTGTTTTTAATTCCAGTCAGGTGGGCCAGTAAATATAAAACCTTTTATGGATTTGATTCTTTTCTGTGTTTTTCCTTATCAAAGGTGAGAGAAAGATGAAAATACTCTATTGTGTGATGTGACTCTCCAGTCTCATTCCCAATATTACCCAGAGTGCCTCGGGAGGCCACTCCGTGGGGTTCTTTTCAACCCTACACCTGGGTTACTCCAGCAGTGCCCAGCCTTAAGATCCTCCCTGGCTGGTTTAATTTCTGAGGACAACCCCAGCTCGAGTGTGAAGCATTCTCTTCCTTAGGCAACTGGACAAAGAGAAATGACCGGAACATAAGGTTGTGAATAATTCACTTGCTTTATTTACCACATATTGCTGCTTGGAGGATATTTATAGGCTGTGATTATGTATCCTTGAGTCATGTTTTTAGACTACACAAATTTAGATCACTTTCTCACAAGTTCCAGCTCCTGATTTCTATAACATTGTTTTGTCCTTCCTTTCCTATTCAGTTGTTTCAGAATAGTACATAATGATCCAGATAGGTAGTTACTTTTTAAGATCTATATATTACCTGCTTAATTTCCCTCATTTCTGGTCTAAGAATAACTAACTTAAGGTCAAACCAAAAGGTTTCTATGCTTGTAATTTTCTTTCTGTCTCTTTCATCAGTTTTGAAATATTTCTTATATAACAGGGCAGTTATTATAATTCACTTTATATACTGATACCATAAATTTCAAATTTTAAAATTTCATACATATGGCATTTTGGGTAAAGATAAATATAGATATATAGAGAGATATGGGTACCTAGATACAGATTTGGCCTTTAATTATACATATATATCACATCTGACCTTTAATTATTAGCACTAAATCTTCTTTAGTAGTACAAGTACACTTTAGTAGTCTTAGGTATCCTTTCTTGCTTTTTGTCTTGGACTGCTTATCGTGTGCACCTTAGTGCTAGCCATAATGAAGACCAGCTCAAGTCCAAGAGCCTGATATGCAAGTGCTGGCCTGAGATCCACCCAAGGTCATTTAAAGTCTCTGTAAGGCTTTTGATGTAGCTGAGTGGCAGAGGACTTGCCTAGATTGCAGGTGGTCCCCAGGACCACAAAAATAAGTAAATAAATAAAACTAAATAAAGTTTCTGTACATCTACTTGCACATATGCAAAGAGGGATTGCTAATAATAGTTATGCTTACCTCACAAGGTTTTTGTTAGAATCCCATGAAGTAATACTTGTAGACAAGCATTGTAAACTAAGAGAGTGTTACACAAAGATAAGATGTGTGTGATTATAGCTATTTTATATTTTTCTAGTTTGGCCAGTGTCATGCTTTTTGGAATATCTTCAGTGTTTCATGTTCACAGATCATTTACCTGTGCTGACCAGGCAGACAGATGAACCACAGGGTTCTGTTTCTCTGATACTCAGATCTTAAAAAAAAAAAAAAAAAAAAAAACTGGCAATCTTTTCATTTTTCTTATTTTACAGTCTTTTTTTTTTTTTTTTAAAATGGAGGAATCTTATCAGGGTATATTGAATTGATCTATCCCCCTTTGGAATTCTTTGACTTATTTGATTTCATAAATATCTTTATATTTTATCTTTAGAGTCTTCTCTAAACCACCATTCAACTACTTGGCATTGTCATTACTCTTTTTTTTTTTTTTCCATATGAACACTGCAGAATGTGGGGAAAGGAGAGGCAGGGCAGTTGAGGAGGAGACTTCATGGAATAATGAATCTGGAAGAAAGTGTGTTGATGGTGGTTCATACCACAAGGGAGCAACTATTGCAGAAACTCTGCTGAGCCCTTCTCTGGGTGCATCACCGCTTTCTCTATTCTTGGCCTGCTTGGTATGAGAAAGTTGCTTGTCTGGCCTGGCTGTTCCCAACCAAAATTTATGCTGTTGACCTCAGCAGGGACCTTTCTGATGTGCCACAATATTTTTAGCCTTCTTTAATTGTCCAGGCATCATCCAGAGCTTTCCGAGTCCCCACACACTACTTCCTGATTCTCAGTACCTTCCTCTTTCCACCTCATGTCCTGAACCCCACACACCCACTTATAATACTGTACTTCAGTTTTTATTCACCTGTCCCTCATTAATAATCTTGAGATCTAGTTCTAGTTCTTAAAATAAATGTTTTATTTCAGAATCATTGAAAAGTTACTGAAAACTTGCAATGGAATTACAGAGAAGTTTGATGCACCCCACAGCTATTTTCCACTATTATTATCTTACATTAGTATGGAACATTTGTCACAACTAATGAACCAATGTTGGCATGTTACTTTAATCAGAATCCATACCTCATTCGGGTTTGCCTGGTTTTTACTTACCGTTCCTTTTCTGCTCCAGGATCTCATCAGGATCCCACGTTGCATTAGTCATCCTGTGCTCTTAGGCTCCTCTGATCTATGACAATTTCTCCAATTTACTTTTTGATGACCTTGTTAATTTTGAGGAATATTGGTCCAGTATTCTGTAGAATATCATGTGTTGTTGTTAAGGTTTGGATGGGGGTGTCCCCCAAAAGCTCTCATGTGAGACAATGCAAGAAGGATTGAAGGAGAAATAATTGGGTTATAGCCTTAACCTAATCAGAAAAAATCAATCCCTGATGGAATTAATTGAGTGGTAACTGGAGGCAGGCGGGGTGTGGCTGGAGAAAGGGGTTGATTAGGAGCATGGCTGTGTGGTACCTGGCAAATGGAGACCTCTCTCTGTGCTCTCTGATCATCATGTGAGCTGCTTCCCTCTGCCACACTCTTTTGCCACGATGTCCTGACTCACCTCCAGCCTCCAGGAATTGAGCCTGCTGTCTATGGATTGAGACCTCTGAAACTGTGAGTCCCCAAAATGAACTTTTCCTCCCCTAAAATTGTTCTGGTCAGATCTTTTAGTCATCGTGGTAAAACAACTGACAAAACAGTTGTGATTCTATGTTTTCCTCGTTGCTAGCACGGGTATGGGGGAAGGAAAATAGCAGATGTTACATCATAGGAAGGGTTTGTGACGTGGATGGGACTTGGTACTGTTGATGTTGACCTGGCTGAGGTAGCACGTGTGTGCCAGGTTTCTCCACAGTATGGCCCCACTCCTCAAATTTCTATGCTGTGCTTTTGGGGAGGAAGTCACCATGGGCAGACCATATTTACAGAGTGGGGAATTG